TTCCAGCAAGTTTGATTTTGAAGTTTTCACCGATGTGGTTGGTGAAACTTCCTTAACAGTCCATTTAAAATTCTGTTTCAGTCTGTACTGTTCAGTGTACACACTTTGGGTATGCCATTTCCTATACAGTTTTCCCTTAAATTGTTTCTCATGTAATACTCACATGATATTAAGACTGATGATGCTGTGCCACACAGTTCCAGCAGCTTGATTCAATGGCAGTAACAACACACAACAAATTGCGTTGTGGAAATGGAGAGAAGCTTCACCAATACTTGGTGAAATAACTAAATCTGAAGTTTTCCTTAAGTGCCTCCAACAGCAAAGAATATGACTTTGTTATACTTTAATAATGACAAATAAAGAATACAGGAAGGATCAGCTAGCTAAGAGCAGTCTGACCATACTGAACACATTTTAATGCTGAATCTAACTTTGTTTAGAAGTTAATGAGCTCCTGTGGTTTCCAGACACCCCTTGTCAGTGATCTGGAAGCAGTGCAATGCCACAAATTAACATTCACATTTAAAAGTTCTCTCCCTGAAAGGTCTGGGGTTGCTTGGTTGCAGAGGCAAGGAATTACGAAAGCAAATGATAAAGTAGTTTTCTTAATTAAAATTATCTTTGCTCTGCTCTGTTGTGGAAGCAGTGTCTCTCAGATAACAGCATCTTCCATTTTTGAAGTTTTATTATACAAAGTTGTTATTCGCATAAATGTTTTGCTACTTTCTAGATGACTTCTGCAAGTGTATTTTTTTTCTTATTTAATTCCCTGGCTGATACCGGTTGGGATCCTGAGACAAGCAACTACTTATGACTTTGCAAAGAAATTGTCACGCAGAAGTTTTGCTCTAAGAATCAATACAGCTTCATGTTTGGCTTCCTTACATGTTATTAGGTTACCAAAAAAAAAAAAAAAATTACAGTTCAGTGTTGTTTGTTTTTAAGGAAATTACCGAAATGCACACGACGTTCTTTTCAGTATGTATTCAGAATTAAAGACCCAGAAGATTAAAATTCCTTCTGAGATGGCTACAAACCTTATGATTCTACACAGCTATATTTTAGTGAAGGTAAGGAATCAAGAAGCTGAGTTTTTATACACGTTGCACAGTCTGTGGTTTACTCAAGTGTACGTCTGGGTGCTCTGTATTCATGAACTGCATTGCCACGGAGGTTGCATGTGGACTCCAAGTGCAAGCTAACGGTGAGCTTCAGGAGAATCCATACCTGTTTGGTGCTTCTGCCTCTTTGGTTAGACTATTCTTTTTAAAATACTGAATAATTTAAAACCTAAGTATGGCTTCCTATGCATATGGCATTCATACTGAAAAGTATGTGTACTGCTAGTACTATTATTAGTCACAAGCAGATCACTGCTTTTCTTTAATTGAAATTAGGCAGGGCAGCCCCAGCTATTTCTGGTGGCCATCACATGGCCAGTCAGGAGGAAACCACTCAGCCTGTGGCCTTCTTGCACCCCCCCTGCCTGCCAGCCATGAGGCAGCAGCTGGTGGTGGGCTGGAGACTAGAGAGACCTCAGGAGAACAGCTCCCATTAGTCTCTGGTTCTTCTTCTAGAGCTTAATACATGTGTGCTCAGTTTCACTAACAGGCTGTGGGCGTGCAGCTCCCCAGAGGACAAACACCAAGAGCAGGAACTGCTCTCTGCTCTCTGAAGGCTGCAGTTAATTTGGTGTGTTTGTTATATTCCAGACTCACGTGAAACGTGGTGACCACACGAAGGGAGCACGTATGCTTATACGTGTAGCCAACAATATCAGCAAGTTCCCATCACGTGAGTACTGACAGCATAAATGAATGGGCTGTGCTCTGCAGGGCAGTTCAGGAGTCATTATTAAAAAGTACTTGGGGTGCTTTCACGGGGTGGTTCCTCAATAGAGAACCTCCAGGAGGGCTTCCTCAACCAAGGTTAATGATGTGTCCTCAAGCACCATAACTGCAGTGCTAAGTAGCCTGAGCTCTGCATAAAGTCTCAGAATCGATCCAATGAACTGATGGTTTGTGAGTTTTTATCACAAAGCTGAAGTAGCCTTCTTTTGAAAAGGCTGCTTTTTTGGTACATGGAACATGTAGAGGGAAATTTTCCTTGACACTGCTGTCATGTATGGCTGCAGTACTGATAGTGTACCTCTCCTCACCTGTGCATACACAGGCTGTTAGATGGGTCAGTCTGTCTTTTATGCTAATTCTCAGCCAGTAGTAATCCCAGTTAGTGTTTCATCTTTTTACAGCCAGGGTGCTCTCTCAACACGTTGCAATAATGCAGACTTTAAACAGCATAGACCAGATTTGGGAGAAATGGTTATAATCAAAACACTCCCAGTGCCAGGCTGTGCTGCAGAGTACCAGGAAGGAAGAGGTGAACCCATGGTTCTTGGGTGTGGTTACAGGGATTGCACAGATTTGTGCAGCTGTGTGATATAGAAAATTCCTGTCATCTTTCATCAACATCCTATTAGTGCAAAGGTTTAAACAGTAATATTAGTACATAATTGTTGCTATTGGTTCATTTTGTTGCAGACATTGTACCCATTTTGACTTCAACAGTAATTGAGTGTCACAGAGCAGGATTGAAGAACTCAGCCTTCACTTTTGCTGCTGTGCTGATGCGACCTGAGAATCGAAATAAAATAGATCTTAAATACAAAAAGAAAATCGAAGCAATGGTCAGGTAGGCAGTGTTCAACTGTACTTCCAAACGTTTGCCAGGCATTAAAAGCACTGTGAAAGATCTGTGTTCAAGGTCAAAGAGCTTGAGTTTTTATTCGTGTTTGCATCTTACTGCTTAGGCACCCAGACAAAACTGAGGCAGAGGAGCCAACAACAGCCTGTCCCTACTGTGCATTCCAGCTCCCAGAGTGTGAGCTCTTATGTCCCAGCTGTAAAAACAACTTACCATACTGCATCGCAACGGTGAGTGCCTCTTCTATGCTGTGAGAATGAACACAAGGCTGCTTTTTTTTTTTCCTTTCCATCTGCACTTTGCTAATAGATTCAGGCTAAGGCTTGGCTGTTCTTTTCAAGTTATTAGCAAATCAGTGCTTCCCATGTTAAGTACTGGGCCAGTGCTGGTTTCAGTATTAGTGATCCTGACACAAATGAGAAGCCCTCCTGTTTTTGTTTCTGGATTCTTTACAGTCTGTTGAAAAGGGACAGCGTACATGTCCCTGTGAGAGAGCCATGCATCTCACCTCTGTCATTTCAAAATCCTTACACTGTAGTTAGCTCCTGTACACCAACATTTCATTTCTACTAGGTTGAAGGAATTTATCACACTCGAATTACAGCGTAAGTACAGATTTACTAAAGCAGGAAGCAAATTATAGAGTTAATATACTTTACTTTTAATATTAAAACTAAAGGATCAGCCTTACAAAAAATATTAATAGTTTTTTAAACCATTTTACTCCATTGGCTTAGCAGAATACTACAGTCTGTGTACATATCTGTTCATTTCTGTTTCATGTATTTAAGCTGTCTCTTGGTTATGGTTCCTTTACATCACAGTAACATCATCAGGGCTGTCATTTTTCTCATACCTTTTGAAAGCGTCAAAACAAACCATTGCTGCACCGTGTATTAGAGCACAAATTGTTAAACACAGTTCAAGGTACTGTTGGGCTTTACGATGTTGACCATGGTACATAAGAATTTTCTGCATCAGACTTCACCAGGAAATTAAAATTAAAAAAAAAAAAGCTGTTTCAGCTCTCCTGCTATGTTCACAGACAGCTGAGCCCCTGGTTTCAACTCACATGGCTTTGCTGGCATTTTTTGAACCTTAAGCAAAAACCTCAGTAAATTTACAATCACCTCTTTCTATCCATATATCTACAGGGGCAGTAATTTTAAAGTGATAATTTCATTCTTAAATTGATAAAAAAAAATAAATACAAACAGTAGTGAAAACCTTGTTTATCATTTAGAGCTCTTTTTCTAGACACAGTATTTACACAGTAAGCAAAGTAACACTGTAATGATGTGGGTTTTTTCATTCCTTAACATCTTTAGAACTGCACTGCTGAGACTTTTTCCACAGTAACAGACAGAAGCTGAACTGCCAGGTGTAGCAGGGGGAGCACCTGCCCTTGAATGACTGCTTTGTCTTGTGTGCAGGGTCGACACATGGTAAGGGATGACTGGACTGTCTGCCCACACTGTGACTTTCCGGCCCTCTATTCAGAATTCAAGATGTAAGTTGGGATTTTTTTCTTCTACTGAAGGATTCCAGTGTTCATTCCATCTAACGTACTTTTGAGGCATCCTTTAAGTGAACCAGCCCAACGGTAGCCACTGGAGTAAGAATGTGCACCTAGCACTGGGTGCAGACTAACAAAGCACTCATCACTTAGAAACTCCTCATGGTCCAGTGCCAGCTGCTTTGGGCATGGTCTGCTGCCTTTTCCTCATGCCCACTCAGCCAGCAGCAGCCTTTCTGGTGGGGCTAGCTCTCAAATGTTTAAAAAAAAACTTAACACACAACTCACCTTTTCCCCTGCTAACAAGAAACAGCTGCTACTCCAGCCTGCATCTCTTATATTGTATACATTACAGGACTTACTCTCAGGCCCAAATGTTTGATAGTGTTACAACCATCCTTTGACCTGTTGTCCCTCTTCCTTTAAAACAGCATGTTACAGACTGAAAACATATGCCCAATGTGTTCTGAAAGAATCAACACTGTTCATCTTAAGAAAATAAATGACTGCACGCAGTACCTGAAACAAGATGACATGGACAGCTAAGTTCAGGTATGTACAAGAGCCTCTTTTTGCAGGGCTTTGTGGATTTAGTTGCTGAGGTTGTAGAGTTTGTTTTTTAATTTGATAACAGGGCTCAGTTGAGAGGGCAGTTGCAGTGTTTACCAGCAAGGACAGTTCAGTGTTCAAGACTTTAACTTACAAGGCTGCATCTCAGTCCCTCAGGTTGTTGAGGTGCAGATTTAACATTTGCCCTTAAGTACACAGAGGGTATTGCTTTTTTTTTTTTTTTTGCTTCATTTGCACCAAGCAGGCCAGCAGTGGGAGAAGCCCTTGTGTTCTCATATTCAACATCAGTTCTGAGCTTTCGTTACTTTAGTTTGTGTTAAACAGTTCTTAAGTTTTTTGGTATTTTGTTCTGGCTTTAATTGCAGCTATAAAATTTAAACACTACAAATTTTGGAACTAAATCCCTCTCTGCATTCCTTTTCTATGGCTATAGGATCATTTAAAAAAAAAAAAAGCCTGATAAATGCAGGAAAGTCAGAACCTCCACCAGAACATGCTGTGCCCTTAAGCAAAAATAGAAACCTCATGTGAAACACATTTTATTGTAATTCTATACACTGCTTAATTGCTATCATGTACAAATATGCAGATTAGGATTTACTATTTACAAGATTTCAGTACATAATAACAGAGGATTTATTATAAAAACAGTCCTGTGAAGACTTGCATAAACACCAGGTAACTACACATCACACTTGCATCATGTTCATGCACCCTGGTGCTTGTTCTACAAGAGTAGTTATGGCTTGTAACACAGCATGTTTGGTACAGCACTGCCCAGTGTGAGAACAGGAGCTACAACACCTCTATAAGAGGAGCATTTTCAATGCACTGGTTCTGTATCACCAGATCAGTTAAATGTTCCTGACAGAAGTTAGATAAACAAAGCCACCTCCAGAGCAAGATTATTCTGTTTAATGTCTTGTTTTCTCTTTTCTTTTACCTTCTTTTTTTGTTGTTTCTTCATTTTTCTCTCTTTTTGGCAGCTTGGAAGACTTCACCTTTTTTTGCTACAAAGAGAGCACAGAGAGTTTAAAATTCCAAGAGTAACCTGGCAAAAAATGTAAATCAAATGCAGTGAACTAAAAACTAGAAAAAAAAAGGGAGCAGGGGAAGAACCTCTCTTCCCTTCCCTTTCAGGAATCACATTTTGAAGTGCAATGGAATACAGACACTACAACATTGTCACAGTTCCCTGGTTTAGCAATAGATGCAGGGAAGTTTGCTGCTGCTGTCTGACATGACCAACACTTTTGTTATATGCATTATTTAATGTGTTACAAAGATGTCTCACTGTGGTCCAACATTCTAGCAGAAAAAAACAAATGAAAATAAACTGTTTTTTTAAACACTACTAAAAGTCAAGAACTTAAGAGATAATGCATTTAAAATCTACTCTGGTTTTTGTTTGGTTTTTGATTCTGATGTTACAAGTCCCAGAAAGTTAACATAAAAAGAAAAAAGTTTAATTTGGTAGTGTAAGACAGGAAGATAAGTCACCTTGATCATTGCATCACTTTCAACAGTATCTTGCTCCTCCTCATCAGATTGGATCTCTTCCACATTCAGTTCTTCATTCAGTTCAGAGGTCCCCATGGATCCTGACTGCCGTCTGGACATCTTCACAGAATGAAGGGAATATGGAGTCAGGTGCACCTCTTTGTTGTAGGCACGTGTAAAAGCTGCCTTGACCTGTTAGGAGGGAAGGAAACACTGAGCATCAGCATAACTAACATAACTTTATATTTACAATCTCATTTTCAGTTAAGTATTTTACCTGCAAATCTACAAACGGAACAGTGAGTTGAATGTCTAATTGCAACTTTAAGTCTTTTCTTTACTGGACTTCTTATTAAAAGTCTTACCAGAGAAAACTATCCCTCACTAATGAAATCATGCCTTACTCCAAATCATCGCTTTTTGGCACTACATCACTTGTGAACAACTGTCATCAAGGATGAAGTACAAGGAAGGGTAACATTTCATCCAAAATCTGACGGACGCACTGAGAACTCCCTGAGAATGTATTAGTTTCACAAAAAAAGAGCAAATATCCCTGTGGTTTTATGGTTTTGTTGCCCCCCCCCCTTTTTTTTTTAAATGTCTTAATAAAAATATTTTTTAAAGTAAAATAAGTATTGTTACTTATGTATGTTACCTACATTATATATTTTAAATGTGGCCAAGGCAATGCCTCTTCACTCGATGCAGCCCAAGACACAGGGTTGGACACCTGTGCTCAACTCTAAAACAACTGAGGCTGCGTCCCTTAACAGGATGCCTCAACAGCTGAACTGCTATGGATTTTCATGTTCAATTAAATGACAGTTCATAAGATGATGCATTTGCATCTTCACCAGCATATCCATACCATAACTATCACTGTAAGATTTCCTTACAAAAGTTGTGAGAAGAAAAAAATTTAGTAAATTGTACCTTGGGATCCAGCTTTGAAAAAGGACTGGGTTTACCTCCCCACATGCTTATTTCCATTATGTTTTCAATGTCTTCTTTCATCAGGCAGTAAGAGTCCATGAATGCTATAGCATCTTGTACCCCATCTGCTCCAAAGGCTTTCAGTGGCTGGATGAGTGCATCACGCAGATGAGACAAATATTCCATATTTACTGTCCTCTTGCATGCCTGGGTTCTTTGTCAAATTGAAAGAGAAGTCAATCCGTAGAGATCAACATAGCTCTTAGCTCTTTTCTAAATACAACCTCTAGTTAGTCTCTCAGCAAACAGATGCTCAGCTGCCTTACGAGTTAAGCACAAGCTGAGCTGTACCATTTCTTTTGTCACACTTGGATTAGGGAAAACCTTATGCAAGGTATTCAGCACTCAAAAACCCAAGTGTTTGGGGATACACAACCCCAACTTAAAAAAGAGTGTCCTCAGTCTGACTCTTGTCCAGAATAGCGATATAAAAACATCACCAACAATCTACGAGGATACTCCTAGAATATACATCTAAGATTGTATCAAGGACAGCACAGAGTTACTGGCAAGTTATGAGCTACGGAACGAGATGTCTCTGTTAATATTCACCAAGTTATCAATACTACCTCAGGCTCATGTGCATTGCCAGTTCTTGGATGATACGTTCATGTTTGCCCGTAGATGAAAATTTCCCCAGCCAGCTGGGAAAGACAGGAAACTGGGACATGTAACCTCTCATCAGCTCCCCAGGAAGAACACTTGAATAAATAGCCTGAAAAAAAAAAATGACACATACAAAACTTACTTAGAACACAATGGATTTCATCTCACTGACACCCACCCATACTACTCCACTTGTTTCACTGAAAGCAGCTAAATGAATAGAGAATAGCTCCACACTACAAACAGTTCACCTTAAGACAATCTTGGCTGCTTGTTTCTGTTTATCCCTTTTAGATTACAGCTTCATCTCTTGTACCACCCTATTCATTACCATGATGTAAAAAGACTTTTTAAAAACCTTTTTTCTTTCTAAATGGTTCGTTTCTCTAGTTTAGAGTACAGTCATACAGATAGCTGATTTCACACAAACAAGCACCATCATGTCCAGGAGATGGACATGGCACAGCAAACACTTCACAAGAACACAGCTGCTAAAAGATTTAATTATGAAGCTATCTAACCTCAGACAGAGGTCCCTTCCAACTTGTGGTACAATACATTCTCTGATGCCAGTGGTGGTCCTTTACGCACAAAAAAACCCAACCCAGTAGCCTTGTGGCATACAGGAGTACTGACATAAGCTTATATGTTTCTAAGTTTATAAAGAAGGTTTAAGTTTTTTCCAGTGTTTCAGAAGACTGTTTCATGATACAACATGAGGTCATCCCTGTGATTTCTAGGAAGCTGCTCTACTCCCCAGCAGAACAGAAGCATACTACTTAAAGCATAAACTATAGTAGGTCATCAAATTACACTGACATTTTGAGGTTTGAGTCTTATACACTGCACCCCATACATAAAGCACACAAAATGAGTGTTGAGTGCTCACCTGTGTCGGTAGAAGGTTCCAGTTTTGCTTGGTACGAATCTGTTTGTCCACCAGATCACCATCACATATACTATCAGCAGCTCTGCTCAAGAGCATCAAGTGTTTCTTCAGATCTCCTCTGGAGGAAAAGAAAAATTGATTTTATTACAAAGCAAAACATATACAGAAAGGTTTTAATTTAAATTTTACTCTTTGTGAAATTCTACATGAATTCAGGGTATGCAATAACTCACCCAGCAGCAGCAGGTTTCACATGCACATAGTTCTCTTGGACAAAGAGAGGTGCTAGGGAATAGTCATGGAAGAAGAGATCTGATTTGTCTATAAGAGACATACGAGAAGCCTCCTCTCCAGCAGCAAAAACCTTCCGGACAACATCAAAAGGGCCCTAAATGATAAAGGTATTTCAAGAAGTGAGTTGCAATGCAAACAAACTAACACTCAGCACACTGTCAAGAGAATTACTATAGTGACTGTACACAGCAGTATCTGGACTCATCGGCACAAGCTCAGCGTCCAGCATTGTCCTTTTAAAGGTGCCTTTTCAATAAATAGTGCTTTGCCAGTTTTGAGAACTGAGTTCTAAGATTAAAAAAATTTTCTCCTAAAGACAGCAATCAAAATGAGAAGTATGAGATGAAGTATGCATCTTAGAAGACAGCATGTCAAAATATGGAAGTCAGTGCTGGATTAACTGCTGACCCATTACTTGTGGCAAGACTGACACATACTCAAAACATTTGACAGCGCCTTGCACATCTAGGCTATCAGTGCTTTACTTCAGAAGATACTTACACACCCAGTAATTGCACTGAAATATCACAATACCAATCAGTCCAGTATTTTACACATACCAGTTTGATATCCTTTTTGGCTCTGCTGGCGTCTGTTTTGGCCTCATCATAAGTCAATGATTTCTCTTTTGCACACCACATATTGAGATTATGTAAAACCTAGAAAATGCAAGTGACAAGGTGGTAGCATAAAAACACTTCAGAAGGAAAAAAAAGCCTAATCTCTATATCTAAATTCTTGCTAATGCTGAAATGGCACTGACCTGTCTGATGTCTTGATTTGCTGCCAGGATTATCTCGTTCATAGCAGGTGGTGGAATTTTCAAACCTTCTTTAAATGCAATAGACATCATGGCACCCTGTAACACAAACAGTTCTGAGAAACTGATAGATTTCTTATTAATTCTTTCCCTTACAGAGCACATTATCCATGTGCTGGGTTGTTTTTTTTTGTTTGTTTGTTTGTTTTTTTAATTAAGTATAATTTAAACTATTTTCTTTACGAACATACAAGTTCAAGTCAGTCCTTGACACTGGTATGAAAAAAAATGAGATCATTAAAAAAAAAATAAATCCTTGAATGTGTTTAAGATGGACATCTATATCTGAATGGCTTTGAGATACTTGAGTCTTCCCTCCCATAAAGCCAGACAACCCCATCTGGGAAAGCAGAGCAACTCAGTGAGGTGACCTGCTGAGTTTCAAGCGGTGTTTTTCAGTTCTGTATGAACTGTGCCACATGGAGATAAGATTGCTGCTGGTAATTCAGTGCAAGCCATGCAGCCATCTGTACCTTAATCTGTTCTAGGCGAGGTCTCTGAAAACGAAGATCAAAGCAATAGTGGACCAAGGAACGAATTTTTGGATGGTTTCGATCGTTACACATACAGATGATGGGTATCTTTGTGTGTCTAATCAAACCAATCAGTTCCTGCAATTTAAACACATTATAACAATTGCATCAAGTACCTCAGAAGATGAGAATGCTTAAAATGTCGTATCAAGCAGCATTAGTCCCTGCCTTAAATCTAATCTTTTTAAGATTGAAGTCAATAAACCAGCTCCTTGCTGTAACTGTATTTCCATAGTGAAAAGGTTGCCCCCTTTTTCCCCACTTTTTCTGCTTGTTATTCTCTTGAGCTCCAATCGTACTGACGTCTAGCCAAAGACCAGTTTGACTCAGACTGTGCCCAGAGGGAGCACCTATCTTCAACTATTCCCTGCCACAAGGGATGAGGAAGCAGAAGTAAAAAGATCAACTGTTCCCTGCTCAAATAACTCAGCCCTGCACATTCAGCTTAAGTTAGCATAGCAATCTTTGGCTGTTCTAATAGAGGTGAAATTCAATTCAATTTCAGATCATGCAAGGTAAACACCTGTATCTGAGCTAAAGGTATCTATGCTCTTTATCAAAGTACTGCACTGACCATTGTCTACTGAAGAAGGTAACTGTCCCAAGCTGGATTACAAACCTTCCACTGCAGGTAGACATCAGCTGCAGAGAACCTGCAAGAAATTCACCTGTCCAAGAATAAACATCTATGGTGCACACACCTGAGCTAAAAAGTCTGTTTTGCAGAGGTTGGTGGTTTTGTTTTGTTTTTTTAAAACTGTCTTTTTTCCGTTTTTATCACTGCATAATTCTCACACAAAGATACATTACTAAAACAGGTCAGTGAACCATACTCTGGAGGGACTGCGACCCCTGGCTGAGGACAACAGACAGGCCTGAAATATGGCATGCACTCTGCAATGGCATCAGCTAATAACTGTAGTAGTTTCACCTGAATCCCTCCTCTGTCTTCATTGCCTGCCATACCATCCACTTCATCCATGATCAATACATGTTTCCCGCTAACTGATGAGGATGTGCCTGAAAATGAATATGGACAAGAAAATGAGATTGCAATACAATATTTTATTCCTAAGGGAATAAAATAGGGTCTTGCTCAGAGTTTTACCCAATGTTTTACACATTATGAAAGCCCAACATATACAGCTGAAGCAGTGATGAACCTTTTGCCCTAGCTCTACCAGTGTGCTGATGTGGAGTTTATGTTCACAGAATAGGGCTGTCTGTAACTCCTGTCACTGTTCAAGAATTGAGAGCTAGGCAACAGAAGAACAACTGCAGAGTCCTTCAGCAGTTTGTGCTGATTAACAGTTTATCCTCTTAATAACAGGATTTAATCCTATGTTGAGGATGAATTAGCACAGCTTACTAAATCAAGCTATTCTTATTTGAGCCTGATCACTTCCACCTGATGAGCACATCCAATTCCTAACATGACTGTGCAGTAAGGAAGCTCTGTCCCTCCTGTAACTGCTCTATAGCCAAGCCCACCTTCAAACAACAGACATACCAGAACAGAAGTCTTTGATGCTGGTGTTGTTCAGTGATTCAGCAACTACTTCCTTTAGACTGTTCTTACTTCGAGTGTCACTGGCATTCAGTTCCACATAGCTGTACCCCAGCTCCTAGTCCAAACATACAAACCACACAGAAAAAGTGAGACCACACAGACTGGTGAAGAACATCAGCACACTCAATTTGAAACAGTATTTTCAGAATTCAAAAAGAAAGCTTTTCCAACATTATTTCCAAATCTAATCTGTGGCTTTGATTCCTCTCTCCCTTCATCCTCTATATTCTCACACTCCAGAAATACTTATAACCAAGCATGGAATAGACATGCCAGAAAGAAAACTGTTCACCCCACTCTCATCCCCTCAAAAAAAAAAAAAGGCACAGATTTCGCTGTGAAAGATAAAACTGAACTGTCCCAAGGGACAGAAACAGAACTATGAGCCAAGGCTGGCTAAACTCTATAGTATTTCCAGATGCGTATCCAAATCTCATGCACAGAATCAGGGAAAGAAATGTACCACATCCCACAGAAAGCTGATGGAAAGAAAAGCTTTTAAGTATTTAGCAGCTAGAAAATACATGACTCCCTCCACAGCTGCACCGCTTCACAGCAGGGCTCATCTGCCTGCAGTCCCTGAAGGAACATAAACCAGCTGCTCCTTTATCAGCAAACTCTGCCAGCACAGGCATAGAGCTGCAGCAGGATACTGCACACAGCTTTATTCCTGTAGCTTGGGTAACCCAGTTTTGTTAGTTTTGAGGAGCAGAGCTAAGCACTCTGCAGAGAGACCTACAGTAGCTGTGTGTGAGCTAGGTGGAAAAACTAGAAGCAGAAAGGCTTCTTGCAGAAATCAGCACCAAGTCAGCACACTCAGCTCCAGGTGCAGCAACAGCCAGGGAAACAAGCGCTGGGTCATTGACCCTTGGGTTGGCACAAACCTCTATGGCCTCTGGAAATTTGGGGGAGTGATGGAAGAATGAAAAGGCTGAAGTTATTTTTAACAATTGTGGAGAGTAGGTGAGCCTTATTTCCCAGTACAAAAGACCAGACAGCTGCTAATTTTTCCCAACCCTTGCAAGCTAGCAGTATCTTTCTAAGAATTCTTCAGAGAGAGATTTGTTCTTAAGAACAAAATAATCTGTAACTCACTACAGTATCACTATTAATAACTTAACTTTAAAGGCATTTCTACCATACAGAGTCCCCAGCTGACTGCCATGAAACAGTGGAACACAGTGTTGTATTGAGTTTGCAAAGACTAATTTCTAAATTCAGATTTTGAAATGGACACCCAGTTCTGTCAATTTCTCTCATCCTAAAGAGAGGGTCAAGTCTGGGAAAGGTATCTCTGTTAGTTTAAAAAAAAAAAAAAAAAAAAATCACAAGTTTGCCAAAGGCACTTTCAAAAAGCTTGCCAGAATTCTAGTGCCTCACCACCCTCTGAGAAAAAAGTTCTCCCTAATATCCAAACCAAATCTTTCATTTACAGCTATTACCTCTAGTGCTATCACCGCACTCCCTGAAAGAGACCCTCTCCAGCATCCCTGTAGGTCCCCCCCTTTAAGGGCATTGAGGACTCCACAGAGACTTCTTCCAGGCTAAACATGCCCACATTCCTCAGCCTCTCTTCGTGGAAGAGGTGCTCCAGCATCTGACCATCTTCATGGCCCTCCTTTGGGCCACCTCTAAGTCTGTTCTGACTACGTAGAACTAGGCTAGGGGCAGAACTTGGTAGTTCAGGCAATAATCATCTGCACACATCTATATAGAGGATCAGTCTTGGGAACCAACTTTTAAATTTGAAAACTAATAATTAACAAGGACTCACCTTACAAACTAAAGAAGCTGTGGTAGTTTTACCAACTCCAGGTGGACCAGAGAGCAATGCTGCTTTAAAACTAGCACCATCATCTTTGCCTCCAGGTTTGTTGGTCTTTGCTATAAAAGAAGATTCTATGTTTTACATATATAAACTGCACATTTTACATAAACCTTTAAAGATATTGACTATTACAGGAGTTTCACATTTACGGCTTGATATGAATATCAAAAAATAAAATACACATGCATCCTAAGCATATAGGCAAAAGCAGTTTAAACTGATAAGATTCTGAACTGAAATATTAACGCAATATAACTATTTCAGTAATTTTCCAACAGCAATATCACAAGAAACAACACTACAGAAGAAACCAACTACCTGTGACAGCTGCAGTGAAGCTTAAATACTACTTTCTCATGAAAGAATGGCTGTAGGGTTACTCACTGCACATGACAGTGGCTACTTGTCAGAGAACCTTAACCATTCATCTCATTTCTTATGCATGAAGCCAGCCCTCTAGACATATTGCTAGCCCACATTTTCCCCATGTGTACAGACAGGTTAGCAGTGATGACTATTTCTCTGGGTGAAAAAGAACTGAATAGTCTGGATGCTATTTATATAGATACTACTGCAAGATTCTATTCAACTGCTTTGGAAAACAGTCACATTTAAGAAAATACCACACAGTATCTTCAGACAGAAGTAGGGGGTAAGTGAGCAACTGCTTCAACAAAACACTCAGGCTCAACTGTTTCTAAAAACCTGCATCTGAATTTAGAGTCATTCCTACTGTGTAGAGTTGCTCTCCCATCACAGAGGACCCCCACCAGCATATGGTACCAAGCAGTGCAACTGGCACGGAAGAACAGAGAGAAGTTAACCATGCTCATCACCTTGTCCATCTTCTGAGGTATTCTTGTGCCAGCTTCGGAGCCATCGGAGGAGTTTATTGGCACAGCTTTGCTCACCCTGCTGTCCAATTATCGCCTTAAGAGATGCAGGCTTGTATTTATCTACCCATAGTAATGTCTCTGTTTTATTTTCACTGCTCTCAGAAACCAAGGTCCCCTTAGGTTTGGGGGCTTCTTTCTTCTCCACAGTTTGATGTTCAAAGTCCTTAAGCTTTCGAATGGCAGTAGCTTCTTTCTTGACAGATTTGAAGGTACCTCCCTTTTCAGGTGTACAATTACTTTTCTTCCTATCAGCTTCCCTTTTGAGAGGACTAAAATTCCTTTTGCCAGACTCGGTTTTCTGTGGTGTCTTTTTATGTCTTGACTCTGCCTTCTTCGCCTTAGGAAAATTGAACAAAATTTAAAAAAAAAATTAACTAACATATTGTGTTTGAACATATGCAGAGGCATGCCTAAGAAAGTCACAGAGCTTGCATACTGATAAACATCCCAGAGTAAATCAAAGAACATCCTCTGAAAAACAGACCACTATTAAACAATGCCACCAGGTTGTGTAGCAGAACCCACTACGCAGAAGTGTTCTGGTCAGTCCTGGAGTAGCTCAAGTTCCAGCACTCTCCTTCCTCAATGACTGTGATGTATTATGAAAAGAAATCTTTTTGAAACCAATGACTGTCAGGCTGTAGAGAACAGGCCATCCATCAGACACGTACAAAGCAGAAGTGCAGATCTTAAACAACAATTCCAAGTTTCAACACTAAGAAAAATTTAACACTAGGAACACTTCCAGAAAACACATTTTTTTAAAAAAAAGTGAAGCACTCCTCTTAAGTACACACTTATAAGAACTGCAGCGGCTGTCATTTAAGAAAGCAGAGATGATATTTAACCCAAAACAAACAAAAAGGGAGAGAAAGCAATCAGTACAACCTCAGAGCTGCTTCTTGGGATGACAGCAACAGTATATTTACATATGACAATTCATGTCTAGCCACATCAGAAATAACAGTGCAATATCTACGCCAAACATAACACTTTTTTTTTTTAAACAACATTTTATCAGCCACTACAGGCTAGATTTAATTGTATATAAGATCTTTAGTATGGTTTTAGTGGGTTTTGTTTGTTTGTTTCAGTAAAGTCTGTTATCTAAACACATGGTTACTTATAGCTCTAACATGCACCAGTACAATCTCTGGGTACTGTATAAAAATCAAACAAAGAACGCTAAAGACTGAAGCCATCGAAGAAGATACAACAATCCCTCAGACAGCTACCTGAAATACCTAAACATGAAAAACAATGTCAGAGTATAAAAGGTTATAATAAACCTTATTAGTCCAAAGTAGAATATTTAAAACACGAGTATAATTTTTCAGTTTCAATACTTTCAACCTATGAAGTTAAGCTCACAATCACAAATAAGGCTACTGTTAAGAGAACAAAAGATCAAAGCACCCTGCGATTCAAAAAAAAAAAAAAAAAAAACCAAACAAACCAACCTCTGTTTCAGCTGCCAGCTCATACTTGGACTTCTTGCCTGGCATAGTTCGAACAAGATCAAATAGCCCATCCTCATCAATAATTTTTGTCCCTAAAGCTGATGCCTGGGGGCAAAAATAAGAATTAAGAGTATAGTAGATGAGAGTTACATAATTCACTTCAAAATCCTTTCAGCAAAGGCTACGTTTATGAACACAAAATAAAAGCAACAGAAGGCTGTTGTTCTTAATATACATGTGCATAAATAAAAATAAAGTGAAATCCTATGCTGAGTAACTTTTCCTTTATAACACACATTTGTAATGCTCCTTTTCAGAGGATATACAAAAAACGTCAACTCAAGTAAATTATTTATTTTGGCTTCCACTGCCCTCAGGCACAATGCTCACCTTTTCACACTTAGACTGTCCGCAGTCTCGTCCCATAACCAGATAGTTTGTCTTCTTGCTGACATTGCCAGTTACTTTTCCTCCGTAACGTTCAATCAGAGACTTGGCCTCATCTCTTTCAATGGACTCCAGAACTCCTGTAATTACGAACGTCAGGCCTTCCAAGCAGTTTTCAGCTCCCTGACAACCATAACATGGAAAATACCATTCAATGATGCAGTTCTACAAATACTCCTTCCTTCAACCATGAATTTTTGTGGTTTTTGTTTTTTTAAATCTTTACCATGTCAAGTGCTCTATGAAATTTTAAAAATTAACCTAATCTACCTAGCTATAGATAACAGGTGTAGAAGTTCAGAAACTATTAGAAGGAACAGTTCTCAACAATACTTCACACATTGCTTACCTGACCCTATCACATTCCTAACACTTTCTGTTTCAAGCTCAGCAATGTCAGTCAAAGGAGTGACAGCAACCTTCAAACATTAAGACCAGTAACTATTTTACATCAGCATGGCTTCATAAGCCAGATAAGGAATTTCATTTCTCAGTATATTTTCTTGCATTCAATCACTTCCAATTTAGCTTCCCCCCCCCGCCCCCCCCATTAAAAAAAAACTCAAATAGTGTAGTTGATGCTTGCTAGATCACTTATAACTAGAAGCCTATGATGCACACCACTTCTAAATACAGAAATTCTACTGTAGCCCAGCTCACTTGAGGTATCTCTTTGGAACCCAGAGCTTTCGGACCCTCGCGGTTGAGGAAGCTTCGGTAGGCTTGATAGTTGCTTCGTCTCTTTTCAGAGTCCTCAGGACTTATAGACTTGGGCAAAAGAAAAATAAATACTTGGTACATATAAAAACACATTTATTAAATACATAAAATGCAATGAAAAACTCAAGGATCACAGTGTAAATAATTTTTATGCAACAAAGATAAAGGAAAATTAAGTGTCTGTTTTTATCTATTAAAAAGTAACACCAAAGCCCGTGGGATTTTTTGTTGCTGTTTGGAACAGGAGGTTGTGAGGTTTTTTCCTCTGGGATGGGGAAAGTGAGAGTGGTACTTATGGTGTTTTTTTCCAGTTATACTTCGTTTTATTTAAAGAATTGTACCCAATATTTATTCTCAGTTTTTATATCTTTATCTGTATTCAGCATATATGTGTTCATTTTATTGAGGAAGTCATTACTTTAAATTCACATCCAATTTGATTCCAGAATGATGATCAGTTACTGACATGCTACAGTATGCTATAGTAAGAAGTAGAAATGCTAGAAGTAGATAAGTCATGTAAGCTTTTAAATTTTTAAAAACAAATTCAGGTAATAATAAAAAAAATCATGAAATTATCAAGGTTGGAGGAGACCTCAAAATCATCAAGTCATCAACGCATCACCAGCATACCCACTAACCATGTCCCTCAGTGCCACATCTATATGGGTTCTGGAATGCCTCCAGGGATGGCAACTCCACCATTTCCCTGAGCAGTCTGTGCCAATGCATCACCACTCTTCTGAAGAGGAAACTTTTCCTAGCATCCAACCTGAGCCGCCTCCATTGCAACTTGTGGCCATTACCTCTCGCCCTATCAAAATGCTACAGGCTTTCCTCTCCCAGTTGCAACTGTTATTTAAATGCCAAAAAAGAAAAGATGTTTTTATTTTATGATTAAAAAGTACATTTTGAAGTTGCCAACAACTGCTGGAATATGTTCAATAACTTGTTACTGAATCAAACAGTTAAGAGAACACTGAACTCCATTCCTATGTAACATTTTAACAAAAAGAAATATTTCAGAAACAAAATTTCAGAGGGAGGGGAGAAGAAAATAAGTGATGGGTCTTTAAAAGTATAGCATTCACAAAGTGATCTACACTCACAAACAATTTCATTTGCTGTCAAAAACTCTGCATTACACAGGTTTTCAGGAAGTTAAATGACAAAAAAGCACTTCACTGATTTTTCAGCATTTGTGCACATCTTCATATGCATTAAAGAATGCTCAATTCCTTGATGCACTTAATCTGTATTTTTCCAGCTAATTTATCACATACATTTCTAGAATTGCTAGGAACTTGAATTCTACCAAAATTCTGAATTCTTAAAAATCACCCAAAATACACAAAAAAAGCACCTGGATACAACAGTGACACACACACAATAGGAAAACTGTTTTCCTGTAAGCTCCACCAAGCCAACTATGTCCACATGAACAGCTCCTACCTCAGCCTTCTTGGGAGAAATTTTCTCCTTCTTGGGTGTTCTTTTCTCTTCTTTCCCTGTAGCATATTTTTCTTTTGAAAGTAAATTTTGAGTGCCACTTTCCTTTTTAGTAGTTTCCTCCTTCTGTTTCAGAGCCACAAGCTTTGAGGTAGGTTTCAAAGGCAAGGTTTTCTCTGTCAGTGCCCTTGCTATTTTACCATCAGATGACTGTGGATGTAAATTAGGCTCTTTTGAATTTTCAGATTTAGTTTGTTCTTTTACTTCACCTGCCGAGCTTGTTGCTTTCGCTTGAAAGAGGCAGAGGAGTGAGAGTACACAGGTAAGAACATACTGAAATTTGAAAACATTTCACCAATCCATACTATTAGAAACCCACCTCTTTGGGATTGTTTGTATCTTTCCATCACATTAGGACTGCTTTTGATGCTCAACACCGTTTGCTCCTCCGAATCTCTCCGAGCCTAAGCAAACAAATAATGCAAGTCAGAAATGTGTATCCCAAAACACCATTAAGCTCAGACTCTTTGTTTTCTAACTGTTAAGTACATCAGACTGAATGACATGCACAAAAAAGCTGATCCCTATCACAAGTGAGAATACTATCAACAGCAAGCAGATGAGCAAATCCTACATTCAGCCATACACATAACTGTTTTTTAATTCAAACAGCAGACAAAACTTCCAGGTTGCAATATGTTTCAACTCTCATAGTAGTAGCACTAGTAGAAGCGTTTGCAATACCCAAAAGAGCTATCCTAACTTCCAAAACTCTGGATGTATAACACAGGAACTGTTTGACTGTACCATATGTGGTACTGCACTTCACACCACAAGCTGTATGGTAACTAGGAAGAACTCCCATCACTGGGTTAGAGATAAAACTGAAGATCCCTGCTTGCCCCTTCTCTCTAAAGATGGAGCGTATTCTCTTCCTTCCTTTTTCTCCCATTGCTTCTCACCATCCTGTGCCCTTGACTCATTTTGCTTGATCTGGCCCTCAGGAAACAGAGGAGCTCAAGCTGACCTAAGGTATCAGTCCTCAGCATGTCACTTCATTTCAGGAATTAGAGAGACAAGCAGACTTTTCTGTGAAATGAGCAGGGATGAATGTAAAACTTTAACCTAAAAGATATGATCCATTCCATCACAATCACTGTTCAAATGAATGAGTGATGCTCTACAGTGCATACGTTCCCTTGGAACTGAGACCGGTTCAAAAGCAAATCTCAGCATGTTGTAGATGACTGCTCACTGTCCTCTGGAAATAAACAAACTATCTCACAGAAAAAAAAAATTCACTGTGAGTTCCTAAATTCATAAAAATCAAATTTGGATCAAGATAGTGAACTGTGAATGGAAAAATTATAAGGAGAACCATTCAACTATTTAAACCATTCTCATACTTTAGGTACATGCTTTCATCCACTGAGATTATACATGGAAACAATAGTTAAACCACTGGTCTCAGCTGTGGTATGGCAGTAATGAAGACTTTTTGCCAGACAATGTAGATTCTATGACGCACACGCTATAAGATGAAACCTACAGACAGAGGTACACATGTCATGACACAGATGATCTCCACTAGTAGAAGGAACAGAGGAGACAAAGTAGCTTGGATGCATCCACCGACAGCTTAATTAGAACTATAAGTTAGATTTACATTTCAAGAGAAACAGCACAAAGATATAATAGTGTTTGCTGTTCTATTAGAAATGATATAATTTACTGAGTGAAGAAATGCCATGAGGAAAGTGTAAGAAAAGCGAGTATGTTATTTTCATACAAAAATTTTTTTTGCTATTTTTAAGGCATTTGTGTGGAAACCTCATAATTTTAGACACAGATGAGGTGTCTCAACAAGATAACCCCTAGTAATACAATTTCAAAAAACCAAAGTTTAAAAAGAATTCAACCTTTTTCTTCTGTGGTGTTTCATCCAACATTGCCAAAGTTCTAGCAAATTCTTCATCTTCATGCAGCTGTCTCTCCAGCTGGGAGGAGAGAAAAGAAGTTTTAGAGAAAAAAGGTTTCACTTTTACTATCTTTTAAAACTCTCTACTGTTCAAGAAGGGGGAAATACCCTACCAGATTACCAGGTACAAACAAATTTCTGAAGGTGGCACTGCAGAATGACTTGTTTCCCCAGAAATGACATAACTAGTGCAAAACTAGAGTTTGAGTTTGTTGCACCAGATACATTAATAGGCGCAGTAAACAGACAATCTGTTTTTGAAGTTGTTTTCTGTCCCTTCAGATCTTTGTTTCATATAGCAAGGTGAATGCAACACATACAGTTTCAACTGATCTTCAAGTAACCTCTTCCATCAAACATGGCCCTTTGGGGAAAACCTTAATTCAGTGTGCATCACTGTAAATAAATACTGACCGTTCTTCCATCAGAACAACAACAAACAGTCATTTCATTACTATCTTAATGTCTTACATGCCACATTGTAAGATTCAAGCAGATGACTTCATAACATGAATTTGCCACAGGCTCTGTTTTTATGTGCCCATAATGATTAAAAGAATGTCTTCCTTGTTTATAGTGAGATAGGGGAAGGGCACAGATTACCAAACACAAACCAGACGGAGGCAGATACACACCTGACAAAGCACATTCCTCTGATTATATGTTAGATGATTACAGAGTTATAGTTACACAATTGTTGCTTGTGTTGGAATCACCTCAGTTTTCCTAACATATTATTTATCTTTCCAGTACAATAAAGCCAGATTCATCACACCTCTGGGGATGCCAAGGATAAGACGATGTTTTGCACCTAAGGTACCTATTTTTAAGGATGCTCATACTACCAACAGGAAATGAATAGATTTTCCCAGAGTAAAGCCAGCACGTGTGACAAGTGTACCTTTGCCTCAGGGAATAAAATACATACAATTGCGAGGAAGCAGAAAATGAGTTCTGTGTGAAAAACAAGATTATTTTAGACACCTGCATGGGTAGAAACAGTCTGCAGAGACAGAAAATAGGTGAAACGTTCTATTTATGTAACTGAAATAATGCCTATAAAATCACTGCCTGACTACGCTTGCACAAATCTGCAAGAGTTCAAGCAAAACAGAGGTGTGTGCACATGCAATTTATAGGATACACAGAGAGTCTTCGTTTCGTAACATTTTAAGTTAAACAAACTGCCACTGGCATACAGCAACAGATTTATACAGCTTTTACCTCTGAATCTTCTTCAAGCTGCAGTTGCCTAGCAATGGCCTCATCATCTAGAGTGCTGTCTCCGCTCTGTGAAGGCTATAAGAAAAAATAGACCAACAGTTCAGTTTCCTCAACGTTTTATAAAAATTTCATTTTGTGTACTTCTAGAAAAGGACTGATAAGTAGACATGCAGCATTTCATCTCTAGTCCCCTAACCTACACACTTTTAACCAGGGCTGTTTTCAAGAGATTTTACTATTCAAAAACCATGGTGTAACCTGCGTATCATTTCTTCAAATAGTACTGAACATCTCTAAAGCTACCACAGCTGCTCAGCTTGACAGGGACAACAACTACACTGTCAATTTTGAACTTCCTCCACACTTCACTTGATGATTTGTTATTCCATGAATACATATGCTATAAAGCTCTGGAAAACAACAACATAATAATATTTTAAGAAAAGTTACGTGGGAAAAAGCAATAAAGAAAGCACTGCTTCCAACTTTATGCTGTCTTCTCAAATATAGAAGTACCGCTCTACAATTGTATTTGCAGGCTTGATACGCTTGTACGTACTGTCAAAATTGCCCTTACACTTGAGTGGTTATGAAAAAGTAACCTTAAGCAGTACAAAAAGAAGAATCTTCTGAAGGTCATTAAGGCCATTTTGTTCTGCAGTCAGATACACTAGCAACCTAAAGGAACACCACCAGTACTCACTTCCTTCCTTTTACTCGCTACCAGTTTTTTTTCTGATCGCTGGACACTTCTTGTCCCAAAGTAATCAAGAGCTGAGGTGGGAGTCAGTTTCACTGGAGATAATGGTTTGATTTTAGCCTGTGGCTTTACATCGCCTTTTTTCACCGTTGCTGTTCCTGGACAACTGATTGCTGATGTCCCATTCTCCTTCGGTTTCAGGGAAATTCTCTTGTTGACAAAGTCATCTTCTTCATCTAAATATGAAGAATATTATATTACTTCTGACACGTGGTTCTTATAACGTCCAGAGAATTACTTTGGTCAGGCTGCATTAACACAGACCCTAAGAAAATACTAGGTGTGTTTAGAAGTTGATTTGGAGCAAAAGAGGGAAAGTAAGTAGCCAAATTCCATAACATAATTCTTAGCATCTAAATAGCATAGCTAAGTCTGAATAAATTGATTGCTAAAATAAAACTACAGAAGTCTGCAACCTGCATAAATACATTCCTTCTTATTAGAAAGGTTTGCAGAGTGCCTTTCCCTCTTACATAAAGTAGCATATAAACAGAAATACAGGTCACTGAAATCTGAACCGTCACCCAACTGCACAGCACAACTCTTGAAATAACATATGTAAAATAAATCTAGCTTTGTGTTTCATTGGTTTGTAGTATTCATTAATAGATCACCTAATACATGCTTTGAACACTAGAACACTGTACTTACAAGCACCCGCAGTAGATTCTCACATATGATTATAAGGCATGAATAATTACTTAGTTATTTGTCAAGTCCTGCTCACACCTTGTGAACGCTTTAGCAAAACATGCTGTTAACCACCTCTGCTTAGTCACAGATTCTAGGAGCTATTCTCTACCCTCTGTATTTCTGCAGATTAAACTCGCTGTCCTTTCAGTACACCCAGAAGCATCTCAAAGAAATGCAGCCATTTCAGAGAAAGCAGAAATCACACAGGAGTTCAACATACAAAACCAGATTTTTCAATTAATAAAAAAAAATGACGCCATCAAACACAGGAGGCAGAGGAAGCAGTACACACAGCAGCAATAAGTGTTAGCCCACAGATCACTGAACAAAAACAAAACTCAATTTTAGCTCTTATGATTCACAGAATGGCCCGGGTTGGAAGGGACCTCAAGGATCTCAAATCTCCAACCCCCTGCCACAGGCAGGGCCACCAACCTCCCCATGTACATTGTTTTCCTAGCAATGGAAAACAGAAAGAAAGCTTGCTGGTCTTCCATTCATTCTGGATCCAAACTCTTCACACAGTCAAATCAACAAAAAAAATCACCAAGGACTTCAAAGAGCTGCGTGTCACCTTGTAAAGCCTTGCTGACAGTTATACAAATGAAACCCTATCACTGAAGCATACAAAAAGCTACAAATACCGCTGCCAAACAATCAGATTAATGTAACATCACAGAAGACAAACATCCCTGGACAAACTTTTTGATTAGTGATAAAGGCACTTTCTTGTGAAATCTTCTAAGAATTCAAGAGCGCGAAAGACATAAGAAGCAAACTGCAAGTAAAGGCCTGAACTGAACAGGCAATACAAAAGGAATAAGGCTCACCGACTGGCAAGAAACAGAGGCAGTCTTATTTGCATGCCTCTAACTGAAGTCTGGTTTTACTTCTCAAGATGTAGATGTTTTGACCACTCACACAGCACATCATGCACAAAAATGTTCTAAGTTGCTTTATAATTATATTTAAATTCACATTACTATTGCTACCACACATTCATTTTCCAGCCACTAAGTTAAACTCCCATATTTCTCATGCAAAAAAAAAAAAAGTTTTCTTTATCACTTCTCTAAGTTTAAATTACATTGTATGCTTGCTATCTCTATTTTGTATTTTGTAGAAATACAAATTACAGATCTTCGCTTCTGGTTCACTGTTTCTCAATAGATGGAGGCAACTCAAGCATTTTAGGCATCAGCTGTAACTTCCTGCTCCTGGTCACTTACTAAGCAGCACATAACATAAATCAACAGGGATCCTGACTATTCCTGTGAAAGTTCAGAGAAAGAAAAATAGAGCAAAAAGTACTGTAAGGCAAGAAATTGGTTCAGCGGTTAAATCAAGAATGCCCGAAGATAAAAAAAATTATCTAGCAGAAAATGGAATTTCAGCCAATTCAATTCATGAGGCAATATATGAAAGACAAAACTGAAGCCCAGGTCCCTCTGAAAGCTTCACTATTCTCAGCCCAATTACGCATTTTGCTCAGGCAGCTGTAGATCCTTTATTGCCATTTAGCTCACTTTAACTATTATCTATCTGGGAGAGTCAGACACCAAATGCTTTAGGCTCCTCATCTACTGCAGCGTGAGGTCTGGATATGAGACTGCTCTTCTCAAACCCAGTTTCAGAATTTTGCTTCTTCTGATATTTCTAGTTTAAATGAGAAAATACGTTTGCAGGAGCAAAATGCACTTATTAGTAAAAACAAGTTCATGTCAAGATAATTACATTCATTTGTTCAAGAAAAATATATTCAGCTGACCAACCATGAACGTGTTTTGTTTTTCTTTTAATCTAAAGACTGCTACCAAGCTGGAAAAGAATCTTTATTTACCACTGCTATCACATAATCTGCATGCAAGATTAAATTTTTTTCCTTATTCACTTGTAACCACTTAAATAGCAATATAAAAAAAACAACAGGATATTGCTTTCCCTCAATTAGAGGGAAGTAGAGTAAATATAATTAACTTTTAATTAAAAAGAATGTGGATTTGAGTCATTTATGAGGCCAGTACTAAGCACCATGGATGACTGGAGCTTTGCTTTAATTATGTCCTTCCTAGAAACAACAGAATTGGAAGCATTTACACACTGCAAGTGCTCAGCAAGAACAAGAGACAGCGCTTGGACAGCTACATATAAATGTAAATAGAGAAAGATGGACAAGAACACTAAAATGGTCATTAGGAAACAAAGCCACTCAGACTGCACTAAGTGGCATCCAACAGATGCTTTATCAGACAGGTCCTTGGGCTGGTTTCATCCCGGGTTCATGAACTTCCCAAAACATCAAAAGCCTACCTTATCTCCAGGCACCCCTCGCTTATTTCCAGCATGTAAGAACTTGAACTTTTTCACTAAAGCCTTAACACTTCTTCCTCATGCATGCCTACTGCCACATGGTTGACTGATCAGCTGTACACTTACAGTTCCCTTACAAACACGAAGGTGACCTAATTTACAGCCTTAAAAGTATTAGGGGAGTCCCAGCACCGCTACTGGACTGCTCAGATCACTGTTTCTCACCATATGACCAGTTCTGTGCTCCAAAAAGAGCGAGGAAGACATTCCCACTCATAAAAACTAAACAACAATTTCTGGGAAAACAAAGATGAAACTTTTGAATTCAGCTGACAAAATAGGTCAATTGCAGATTAACAGCATTTTCACAGCCCTGTCTTACAGAAATTTCTAGGTGAACAGTTGAGGTGGGATTGCAGAAGTCCCTGCCCCCAAACTAAGGCTAAGAAATGGGAATTCATTTTATCACCAAGTAGATGACTTTTACTTCGTAGAACATTTGTGTAGCAGCACACCACTATCAGAATATTATTTCTATTTCTTGTTTATATCCACACATTTTGTGTGTGCTATAAAAGGAATGCATATCCAGAACAAATACATCTGAGGTTTGGGTTTTTTTCTAGCGTTACCTCTGAAGACTTACAAATGCAAGCTGAGAACACACAAGTTGAGCTGTAGTCAAGTTTTCTGGAAATTAAGTAGATGTAACAAAGAGAAAGTCACTCGTGTGATTAATGGAACAGATGTGCATGACAGCCAGGAGATTGCTTTTAATTATTTTTGATACAAACACTACACATGAAGCAGGGTCCTTCTGCGCCAGGTAATTTACAGGAACAAGCTGCCCTAGCAACAACCAATAACCGTTACATCCTGGATGGGTTTAAAAACTATTCTGTGACATCTGAACATACCCGACTTCCATTTTATAGCAGCACAACGAGGTTAATTAAATAACTCCTGCAGCCCATTTGCAACTGCTTGTTAGTGTTTGGTTTTAATACCAACTCTAAACACAGAGCAGTGTATCTATACAAGGAGTAAGCAGTATGTAGTAGGAAAAAATGTACATTAAACATAAAAGCTTGCAGACTATCACATAAAGGCCTTCTATACACAGCTAGAGGATAGCATCCTTCCCAAAAGTCACTATAACTCCACCACTTGTGTAAGATGACGACACCCTGGATATTCTTCAGTTTTAGTAGTGCTAATCTGCACAAGGACTTCAGATGGCTCCTGTCCTAAAGAACTTGCAGTAGGTATTACTGCCAAGCTGAAGTTCAGGGTGGATAAAATAATGCTTGTATTTACTATTTTAAGCACACATTTACCAGTACTTAACAGTTCCAACACAAGTTAGGATTCTGCATTTTGTATTCAACTTTTGCTTAAAGTAAATCTTTAAGCAAGCTATGATAACCGTCTCTCCTAAAAACGTATTTTCTATCACCCTCATCTAAAATCACAGTAGTTCCAATCCATATTTCAAAAACCGGTCTGTGTAGTCATTTAGATTTCCAGTGTCATTTGTCAACAAGCTAATTGATTTTAGACTTACTACAAACATGTACTTTAAACCATAATTGTTAGCGCTCTGCCTATATCCTCATGTCAAAGTTCCATTCTGTTATAAAAATGGAAAAGTCTACCAGAACCATTCAAGTACCATTCTTCTGAAATCAATTTACATCTGTTGGGATTTTCCAGTTAGCAGACATAATTTCAAGAAATTGTTATATTTTTCACTAAGGAAAAAGGGTTCTGGGAAGCCAGAACCTTAATGGAATAACTGCCACACCTAATTGAAGTTATACACTTCAGTGCCAAACTATATAACCACTGAAGCTCTTTCATCCAGTAAATACCAAATGAAACTCTTAGTCAAATACGCACATTTCTGTTTTTACAAATATCTCTAGTAAAACATTTTAGTGCCATTAAAATAATCCACTTTCTGATATATTTTTTTAAATCTAAAATAAGTGATCATCACTATTATTTATGGTGCAAACCACTAATTAGAGCAATGCCCTTTAAATTAAATAAGCACAGTGTCATAGAAACTGCTGCACGTATCACCCTGGCACGCAATCAGAAGTTATCAGTCCATTAACACTTTCCAGTTCATTACAGAGAGCTTTATGCATGTGAGCTGGTTAGTTTCATT